GGCAAATAGATAAATACCTGGATGGCCTGGCCTGCGGCACATGATGATGACTAAAGACATGGAAAGGTCCTTTACATTCACCCCTCTACGGCTTGCTGAACGAAAATGCTGGTCTCAAATCCTCAGGAAGGTGGTGGAAATTTGTTTCTCTGGAAGGCAAAAATAAAAATCCGAACCTGCACAGTTGGTGTCATCTGTGCTAGCAAGGCAGCCTTTGAAGTTCAAGACCCCCCCTCCCCCTGACTACTTCTTCTTTTCTTCCGCCTTGTACCTCAGTGAAGTGTTGGGGGAGATGTATGGTTGGTTGATGAGGTCTGCCTAGAGCACTATTAAGATTGATGTTCATTTCTGTGAGGCTGTTCTTAATGCCATCACTCTTTTTCTGAGGTCTTCCGCTCGCCCTATACCCGCTGTGGTAGATAGTACCAGGGCATTCTTGTTAATGTCCAAACCACTTTATTTGTTGTTCTTTGATGACCTGTAAGACTGGCTTTATTCCTAGCATTCATCTTATTTCGAGATTTTGTATTCTGTCTCTCCTTGAAACTCCTGCAGCTCTTCTAAAGCATTTCATCTCTGTTGTCACAATTTTACGTTCCTTAGAGGATGTAAGTGTCCCTGTTTGGCACTGATATAGCATGTGTTGGCCAAAAAAATAGTTCTAAGATTCACTTTAGTACTGCAATTATCTACTTGTCTGTCAACAGGGGATAAGCTTGATAAGCTTTGGCACAAGTCAAGATAATTTCTCTGCCCAGTTTTCCATTGCATGTGAAAATTGCTCACAAATGCTTAAATTCCTCTTGTCTTAAGATGTTGGTTTAAAAAAAAAAAAAATTGTCTTTCTGTCACCATTGTCTCTTTCTTCGTAGTGTTTATTCTCATATTAAATTCCTCCCCTTTGTTAAAAATTTGATTTAGGTGGTTCTGTAGGCATTCCATACTTTCTGCCATGAGTACCTGGTGAATAGTAATTCTGGGCAGCAGCAGAAGAAATGATGTATGAGATTAAACAGTAGAATGCCACTGTGCCCAATTTATCAAACTTTGAAAATAAAATTCATTTGATCACTACAGAGCCTTCTTTTTGTCTCCTTAAAACTACTTGTAATGTCTGTAATGTTTGCCTGACCTTGAAAGCATTAATTTGGATCAGCCTTGAAAAATGTCTCTAAATGTGTAGAAACCTCTAAAACGTTTTTTTTCTGGAATCTGGGTCAATCTGTAAAATTGTACCAATGACCTCTACAGTTGTACCAATGACCTCTACAGTTGTACCAACGACCTCTAAACAGTTTTTTTTAAAAGAAAAATAAAGGCAATTTCTGGAATCTGGGTCAATCTGTAAAATTGTACCAATGACCTCTACAGTTGTACCAACGACCTCTACAGTTGTACCAACGACCTCTACAGTTGTACCAATGACGTCTACAGTTGTACCAACGACCTCTAAACAGTTTTTTTTTAAAGAAAAATAAAGGCAATTTCTGGAATCTGGGTCAATCTGTAAAATTGTACCAATGACCTCTACAGTTGTACCAACGACCTCTACAGTTGTACCAATGACCTCTACAGTTGTACCAACGACCTCTAAACAGTTTTTTTTTAAAAAAGAAAAATAAAGGCAATTTCTGGAATCTGGGTCAATCTGTAAAATTGTACCAACGACCTCTACAGTTGTACCAATGACCTCTAAACAGTTTGAAAAAGAAAAAAATAAAAATAAAGGCAATTTCTGGAATCTGGGTCAATCTATAAAATTGTATCAATGACCTCTACCAATGGCATTTGTATCTGTAAATTGTTGCTTGTTAGAAAAATAAAGTTGATGGAAAAGGTTTAGGTATTTTCTTCGCAGAACACTCAGCAAATTATCAGGAGGAGTCATTTCTGGAGAATTTAAATCCAGACCCCAAGTACTCCATAGCTCCCACAAAGTGCAGCCACATCACATATTTTGAATCGCATAAGATGGCTGGTGATCAGCTCCATTCTACTACTACTTTGTTGTCACCACCTCTAAACTCCAGGAGTAATTCTGGTTGTTTGTCCACTTCTAGATCTTGTTCCAGAACTTGAGTTTTGTGCACACATTCAATTTTCAAATCTGGCTTATTATGCAAACTGTCACTTCTCAGGCAGAAACCACACATACAATGTTTAAAGAATTTGAAACAGTCCGTAAAATTGTAATTCAGTTTTTTCATCATATTTAATAATAATTAGGCAATGTAGGAAAAAATTGTTTTGAAAGAATAAACTCCGTTGGAGCTATTTGACTCCAAGCTGTGTCCAGATCTTGCAGACATCAGTACATTTTGACTTGCAAAGAAAGCATATTGAATATGAACATTATTATTGAAATATTCATTACCATTTCATTATGACTGTTAACTTCTTCTTAAACATTTGTTACATAAACACACATTGTTCCAATAGCTCCTTTCCATTTACAGTTGTAGTATTTAAACACAAAGTGTTTAGATAGCTCTTTTCTCCTTATAATACAGATTATTCAGACATTTACTTACTATTGCTTCTTTCAACCCACTTTTTACTTGAAATCAATAGCTGCTAATTTCATGAAATAAATGCAGAAATTTACAGTGTATGGAGCTGTTCACATATAGTGCATTACTAGTATAGAAAAGTTAAAATTCTCACATGCAAGACATAATTATGGGAAAGAGGCAGGGATCAACCAGCACAAAGTGGACAAAGGATGTTTTAAGAACATCTTGAAAATACTTGAAGCTGAGAACGTGACAAAGGACAGAGAGCCTTATTATGGAAGCAATGTTCTTCTGTAAAGGCCCTATACATAAGGACTTTTAGACTGAACAGCATTGGCATATTAACAATTGTAAGATGGAATGGCAAATGAGCCAATCAGCAAGAACCCAGGAGGCAACAATAACGAATAATGTGTGTTACAAGTAGATGAATAATATTATTAATTATTTGTATTTATGGACAACAAAAATCCTTGGGGTTTATAGAGAGAATGACATGAGAGAGACAGAAACTACATTCACAACTGAATGCAGGAGCAAATTATAAGGTGAACCAAGACGACGATAGAGATAATATGCAGGAGGGCAAATAGAAAAGTCAGTCAGAGATAAATGGACACAGGTGAAGTCGGCAGCAATCAGAAATAAGATGAAAGAAAGATCTTGTTTCATCATCAAGTGCCTTTCCCCAATCTACGACCTGCAATTACATGTATCGGTTTGTGTGTTGATACCCCTCCAGGCTACTTTTAAAATCTTATTTTTTTTGATAACAAATGTGATCTTAACAACTCTGGCTTTAAGATATTCCATTCTTAGGGTCTGCGGCAGATAAACCACCATACAGTCAGTCATGCTATATCAGCACATTCTTTCTTCTTCCTTCCTCCTTTCCTCTCTTCCTTCCTTCCTGCCTGTCCTCTTCCCTCCTTCTTCCTCTTCTTCTTCATCTTCTTGCTTCCTCAGCAATGTTGGTAGGATATATAAATATCTTCCACGAGCTATGTCTAATATGTATGCAAGTTGGGTCTTCATGCACCTTTCCACTGGCTTGAGAACAAGCTGCATACACATCATGATTGTAACAGACTCAGAAATCCTGCTGAGAAAGGTAGAGACAGGTATACTCCTTGCAGAATGGCAACCATCACTTCCAGATGGTTAGTATCCCTTGAATCTTTTCTTTGGATAATGCAGGTGTATTGGGAAATGAACAGTCAGCCAGACTGGCTGGTTCTGGGTGACTATAAACTGATGCACGGCAAGGCCCCATAGGAGCGAGTGAACAGTGCAGAAGCATAACAGATCATCAGTCTGAATAAATTTACCAGCCGATCTGGCCGACACTCTACAGAGGAACATACTATCAAACTGCTATGTGTACCAATGGAATGTGAATTCAAAACTGGCTGCTGAAGGCTGGAACAGAGCGCTTGTGGAAATGTCCCGATTACTGTGATGCAGGTTCTTAACTCTAGGTTCTGTTAATGTTGTTGCTGTTCGTCCATCACAGGTGATGATGATCACAGACCCTGTTAAATTTGTTCCAAGGATTCCCTTAAAGGACAACCAGTTGGGAATCACTGGGCTAAGGCATTCCTAGCTTCATCAAATGAGAAGAAACTTGTATATATTAAAAAAATCAAAGGTTTCAGAGCTTCCATTGGAGTGTAAAAAAAGGGGGGGTGGGGGGGGGGGGGGGGGTTAATAGAACACTGCCCCAAGCATGTCATAAAAATGTAATTAATTATGGGGTTTGCTGAGATGGGATGTGTTGGGCTGAAAGGGGCAGATATCGCAGCTTAGGTGTTTACTGCACAGCACATGCCAACTGTCCTTTTAAGCGCAAAAGCAGAAGAGAGAGAGAGAAGAAGATTTACTTTGTTATATGTTTATATGAACATAACCTGATTACGATGAGGGTGATTAAAACAAGAATAATAAATATAACTATGATACCATTTTGTGCAGTATAACACTTTTACTACTACTCCCCCTCCTTTTCCGATGAGACCAGCCCCTATATCGATGTGTGATTGAGAAGATGCCTTAGAGCTTAGTTTCAGGAAGTGGCTGATTTTTTTCATGTACAAACATTTAAATTTTTTATTCAAGCACAAATCCAGATTATTTCAAATACTGTTTTTTTTCATATTCTTCTTCTGGGTCATCTATATAATTATAAACATCCATTGCATCTGAGGAACAAAATCAGTATCTCTGACTGTCGATCCTAACTTAGCCATATATTTGTCAGGTCGGTTGTTGCCAGAAACTTAAAAAATAATACAAGGGCTTATTTTCGGATCAGATATTATTTTCAGGGGGAGTAAGTAGTGTTTTATGTCACTGCAATGCATTTGTTGAAAAAAAAAAAAATCGCAATTTTATTTTCTTTTAAATGACAACACTGCCATTTGACAGTAGAAGCCACATCTTTCCTTCCGTCAGTCAATGGTGATAACACTGCTACTAACCACTCCGCTGTCAAAGATGTATACTGACCGCAGCACTGTCCCCATTAACCTGTGTCTGTTTCGTGTACGTTCCATGAAAAGTCATGGACATTTGGACGTTCTCAGGGATGTACGCACGGGCAATTTCTGTGAAAGAGCGGGCATCAAGTATCAGCAGGAATGACCTCTCGTCCAGGGTCTCACACAGAACAGGAGAGAGAATGATACCTGTGGAATGGAGTAGGTAAAAACAACTTGCAGAAACAAATATGGCAGTAACAAGTGGGTATAAATGGTGAGTGAGAATATTGGCTACACTTTCCAGCATTCTTGGTTTATGCCAGTTATGTTGTCAAGTAAATGCAAGCCATTTGAGGCAATCAAATGACTCGTTATTATTGTGTATAATTATTTTGAACATTTCCTGTCAATGGTATCATTTTCTTAGTCACAATACACATAACAACATGACAGGAGAACAAAAGAGTATTAGGGCTATGGAAATGAGACCACCGGAAAGCAATTCTTTGCACTGGGACCCACAAGGTCATAGATATGAAGATAAATTTAAAATTTAAATTTAAAAAAAAAACATGGAGAAAGGAACTAGAGAGGGAAATTTAAAAGATGGTAGGATATGGGCAAAGGACAGGATGACTTGTAGGGAGATAATTAGGGGCCGATGTCCCACTGATAAGGGAAGAAGAAGAAGAAGAAAAAGAATAATACTGTATTGTGATTCAACATGTGGCCATATTTCTGACTCACCTGTAAATAATAAATTTGTTCTTTTGAAAGGTAATACACGGATGGATCAATGGTAGTACAAAGGCTAGGTTCTTATTTGCCAGAGCAAATGTTTTCAAATTCAAATTCACATTGAGGTAAATTCTTTTACAGTTGACTTAGGATCCCAGATCAACCCAGCCTAAAATGTGTAGCAGAATATACCTTGAGAAGTAAAAGCTACATCAAGAGCAGATTGGTCCATACAAATATTTTACACCATACGCCAGTTGAGTTGATAGCATGAAAATAATCCTTTAATTTGCTACCTTACGAGAATCAGGTTTTGTATTGACGTTACAAGAGAGGTTTTTTATTTTTTTTATTAAGGAACTCTTCTAACTATATTTAGAAATATTTATAATATTGACAAGGTTCCTCAGTCCATACTTGTAATTGCTACCTGTAGTTACAACCTTGTTCAAGACCGTTTAGGCAGAGGGTCTTTGACCTTTAGGGTTTAAGTCTGTTTAGGCAGAGGGTCTTTGAGCTAGAGGGTTTAAGTCTGTTTAGGCAGAGGCTCTTTGAGCCTGAGGGTTTGAGTCTGTTTAGGCAGAGGCTCTTTGAGCCTGAGGGTTTGAGTCTGTTTAGGCAGAGGCTTTTTGAGCTAGAGGGTTTGAGTCTGTTTAGGCAGAGGCTCTTTGAGCCTGAGGGTTTAAGTCTGTTTAGGCGGAGGCTCTTTGAGCCTGAGGTTTAAGTCTGTTTAGGTGGAGGCTCTTTGAGCTAGAGGGTTTAAGTCTGTTTAGGCAGAGGCTTTTTGAGCTAGAGGGTTAGTCTGTTTAGGCAGAGGCTCTTTGAGCCTGAGGGTTTAAGTCTGTTTAGGCAGAGGCTTTTTGAGCTAGAGGGTTTGAGTCTGTTTAGACAGAGGCTCTTTAAGCTAGAGGGTTTAAGTCTGTTTAGGCAGAGGCTTTTTGAGCTAGAGGGTTAGTCTGTTTAGGCAGAGGCTCTTTGAGCCTGAGGGTTTAAGTCTGTTTAGGCAGAGGCTTTTTGAGCTAGAGGGTTTGAGTCTGTTTAGGCAGAGGCTCTTTGAGCTAGAGCTAGCTGCACAGCTAGTGCAGTCACCATTGACTGCGCAGATTTAGATTTTACTTTTGCCAATGACTGGGAAAAAATATCCACAAACTGTCATAGTAAATTAGCATCCACTCCATTAACAGAAAATGGTACCCCAGGAGTATCCACTTATTCCTGTGGATGCTCAGTCATCAGAGCTTTGACTGAGAGTTTGAATTATATTGTATTAGAAACAGAAATTAGGACCATCTTCAAGAAGAATGATATTATTCTTAATCGAATAAAACGGCAAAAACTTTAGGTAAAAAGGCATAACATATTTTGGAGGATGCCTTGTTGAGATCAGAAAGAGAACTGCCATAGCAAACATGAAAAAACTTCTTTTTCTTCTTCTTCTGCCTTTCTATCCCCCAGTGGAGCATAGGCCCTCAACCAACTCACGCCAAGTCGTTCTATCCTTTGCTATTGCATGCAGCTCTCCCAATGTCCTCCCCATCTTTCTAACTTCATCCTCCAGCTCCCTTCTCCATGTGTTTTTTTAAGCCTTCCTTTATTCCTATGCCCCTGTGGGTCCCTATGCAAAGACATTCTAGTTATTTTGTTCTCTGATTTTCTGAATGTGTGTCCTATCCGACGCCAGCGGTTTTTTTTCATCTCATGGCCACTGGAGCTTGCTTAGTTCTCTCCCAAAGCTCTACATTAGTGATTCTATCATACATTTAATTCCTATAAAAACTTGTTCATCAATTTAAAAAAATATATAAAGAAATATCAACTGCAGTGAGAAGGATGGTGTTAAAGTTATAATTAGAACAGGTACACTTGTATGTGTGTGGAACATGGACAATAAAGCGACACACTTGAAATAAAAAATCTGACAGCAGAATTATGATTTCTGATGAAAATGCAAAGAATATATGGACAAAGAAATGCAAGAACAACAAAATAGAAACTAACCTATTTTTGACAGACACAGACAGCCAAAATATTCCAGGACACGTTATGAGAAGGAGAAAAAACAAAAACTTAATGACAAGTGGTACACTCCAGGAAAAAATAAGCAATAGAAAGACCAGAATGACAGCCACAAAGTGTAAACAAGAACAAAGTCAAGAATCTTTTTCTTAGTGTCCACCGGCTGAAAAACTCAAGACTGAAAGTTCTGACTGTTCATTCAGCTCTGATCTGAGTTTTGTATTCACATCCGTTTTACAGATCTGGCTTACTTGTGTGCAGACTGTTGGTTGCTCGCCTCTCAGACAGATGCACATAGCCTTGGAAGGAAACATCCCTAATTTGTCGCAGTAATGCCCTGAAACCCACACGGAGAAGCCAAGATGGTGTTCGTATGAGAAGAATTAGGACAACCTATGCACATGATATGATGTCTAAGTTATAGTGAAGATCCACTATTTCTTTAATTTCTTTAAACCAGACAGCTTACCATCATCCTCTTCCTTAGCATCTGGGGAGGCCACAAAGATGGGCTCCCCTGGGTAGTAGTACTGTGTCAGTCTCCACTCCTTGACAGTTTTCTCCTGGACATCCAGCTTGACCAGCTAACAGAAAAACAACATCAATGTAACACTTCCTGATTCAGCAAAGGCTTACAGTCCAGGGCTATTCAACTGGCGGCCCACGGACCAAATCTGGCCCGCCAAGGCCTAACAAGTGGCCCGTGGAACACTTCTAGCTGTATTATATTTTCAATCTCTCTATGCTGGGGCTAAGACATCTGGCCCGTGACAATCTCCGTTTTTGAACATTTTGGCCCCTGAACCAACTTAAGCCCTGGCTTACACAAACCAATTCAATGTAGTAGTAGTATTTTATATGGCTGTGTATCCTGAACAATTAATAAACATGCCAAAAACAACATCTCAAGACCTTAAAGATGTGGTTTAGCAGAAGAATCTTCCTAATCCTTTGAACAGCCAAAAATAGCAACCAGATGTTTTGAAAGATGTGAGGGCGTGAAGACAACTTTTAACACACAAAAACTGCCAATTACTGCCTTTATATACCACTTCTGCTGTGTAGGCGGGGTGGGAAGGAGGGGGGGGGGGGTCTTGGGGGGGGGGGGGGTCTCTTGAGGCTAAGGATCTAAGGCTGCATGTCTAGTGCTGTCGCCATGACTGTGCAAGTGAGGATTTTATTTCGCCCCCAACACAAAAAAATCCCTAGCCTTATCGAGCATTTGAACACAGGTCTCCTGCACGAAAGCCCAGCGCTTTAACTGTTTGACCAGCCCTTCAACTTATCACAAACATTAGAAAAAAGAAGACATCGTTATTCGGTCATCTTATGAGAAAAAACTGAAAATGTGGTGACCACTGGAAAGATCTGTAGAAAAAGAGATAGAAGCAGACAATATCAGTTGATTCTTGAGTTTTTTGTCATGGCAAAGAGTGGTGTCAACACTTGAACTAATACATGCTGTTGAAGATCAAAGATTGTGTGGAGTGAAGATCACAGATTGTGGAGTGAAGATCACAGATTGTGGAGAGGCATGATCATCTACGCCAGTGGCAAAGCATTTAATGATGATGATGATGAGTAGTGATGTTCACAAAATATCCTGTTTAGCCTTCCTGGTTATAATTTGGGATATAAAGTGCTAATTGAGTTATCAGAGTATATATTTGTTCTTTTATTTGCCTGTAATTATTTAATTAAGCCAACTATGTACTTTGTGTCGGCTCTGTGGCTAAGTGAGTCGATGCCAACGCTTCGTAATGCCGGGGTGTCGGGTTTGATCCCAGCTGCGGGCTATGCGCCTTGCGTTGGTTTTGACAGTTGTATCAGGGGGCTGACCGTCCAGAAAGGAATGGCAAACTACTGGACGTAAATTTGCCCAGAGAAACCACACAACACCCAGGGGCTGCTGGGGCTGGTAAAATATACACAACTAACCTAATGTACTTTGTATTACTGTTTCATATACTTTCTAGTTTATACCTTTTCTGTTTATGAAATTCATTACCTCAAGTTAATTTGCTACTTTTTTTAGTATTAACCCAAATTACTACGTAATAGGCAGCAGTGAATTCACTGTAAGTTTTGCTTTAACTTTATCTTTCACAGACAGCTTTATTAACCCAAGTTATTACTTTAACCAAGGGCTTTTTTCTGTTAAAAAAAATCTACAGGTACTCACCACAATGGGTTTATTATAGTAGCACTGAAAAATTGATACATTTTTAAAAAAAAAAGTGCTAAAAGAACAGTTGTGTACAGCCAGAAGGAAAAACGCTACTTTATTTTAATTAAGAAGAAGAATAAGAAGATAAGGAGGAGGGTGGAGAAGGAGAATGAGGATGAGGAAAAGGAGGAGGAGGAGAAGAAGACTTACATTTACCTCTTAAACTGCGTGGTTTTTAACGTTATCAGAGGTTACTGAAATCTCATCAGCAGTAGTAGTCATCTGAAAACCATTTCTTTTGAGGAACGAGGAATATTTGGTGGAGGGGTCCTCTGATCGGCTGCTCCATTCCTAGATTTCTGAAGCCTATTCAATGACTACCGGTCAACCCCCTCTAGCTGTTACCTGAAGGTTTGACACTCTAATGACTTAAAGAGTCGCATCCTGGATAGAATTCCAGCATGATAAATCCCAGATACCCTGTTCATCCTCCTAAGACATTATAAATAGGAACCCATAACAGCTAAATCGAGTACTCTATGCTGATTTTAACACTGCTGATTTAGATGGGTAAAGGCAATGAGTGTAGCAATACTTCTTGTCACATCGAAAAACCACCATTTAATGGAAAATTCAAGAAATCTGGTTCAACCTCCTAATAAGTTATAATTATAGAACCCATAAGGGCTGCACTCCATCCTGGTGTACCGTGAGTAAGGATACTGAGTGAGTCACAACTACTAGTCATTGGGAAGGACTAATGTTTCATCACAGGAAAGCAGATAAGCATGAAGTGACATTTTTCAATACAGAACAAATTTAGGGAAAGTTGTGTTACCCTGTAGTAGCTACTGAAGATGGCATTTCCATAGACATATCTGTGCCTTCGGCCTGCACAGAAATCATAGTTGATGCGAGGTAGCTCCATGTTGATTTTGTCTGGGTGGTGAAAAAGAAAAACAGAAAGACTGTATAATCAAATCTGCTATACATGAACATACTATCTGTGTTATAATGTCCATTTAAAAAAAAAAAAAATATAGTCTGCAACAACACCAGTTGTTTAAATAGTGTATGTCTGTATTATAATTTCAACTGCAAAAAACAATCACAGTTGCAATAACAACTGTTGTTGAAAAGTGTCCATCTGTGTTTTATAATTTCCATTGCAAAAGCCAAACCCAGTCTAATCCATACAAAAGAAAAGTCTACATACAGGAAAACCTTCCTTTAATTACAAAGTGGAGACAATAACTTTGGAGCAAGCAGTATCCATATTAAACAGTGAATGCAGCTCAGTGAGAAGTTGTGCCCACTCATTATGAAGCAATAAAAAATGATATGTACCCGCAGTTCAACAAGCTTACATTTCTGTGAAATCAAGCAGTGTTTATTTCAACAGCTAATCAAGCAGTCTGTGCTCCTGTTGATCTCAGCTAACTGCAGAATTACATAAAATAAATGAGCAGACCAGTTAGCAAAAAACTGGGAGCAATACAGAAAAAGCAGATACAGGGTCAACTTATAGGGAAAATAAAACCAAAATCAGTATAGCCTTGTAACCTAGTAGAGTACTTCACATCAAGAGCCCTTTCCACCAAGAGTCCTTCACAAGAAGAGCACTTTCCACCAAGAGTACTTCACAAGAAAAGCACTTTTATCCAAGAGTCCTTCACAAGAAGAGCACTTTCCACCAAGAGTACACAAGAAGAGCCCTTTCCACCAAGAGTACTTCACATGAAGAGAATTTCCATCAAGAGCACAGTCCTAATTATCCAATCTTCCTCTTCACATGACAGAAACTAACCACTGTGTTTAGACTGAACCGGACATAATAGACTCTGCAACCATATATACAAGGTATTTATGATTGGGAATTTTGAACTTTGTCTATGTAAACAAGCAGCATAACATACTGAATATGTGCTGGAAACATACTCTGTTCATGCAGTAGAAAGGTCCCAGGTCTGGCCGTTTGGCATTCTGCTGGAAACCAATCTGTATGCATCAGTGGAGGACATACCTTGCACCAAAGCCCTCCTAGTGGCTTGTTGCTTTCTCATCTGAAACCCCGTTTATTCATTCATACACAACCACACACAGCCCCTACGCACCTCCCCCCACCCATACACACACACAATGAAAAGAAATCACTCACCAGGCAGGAGAAAATCCGGTGTGACTATGATGGTATTTGTGGCATCAAAATCTTTGATTGCCGTAGCCTTACTTCCAAGTAAGCTGACGAGGTTCACATCGCACGGCACCTGCATCATAGACAATTTTTGTTTGTCATGAAGATGACGGCAAAATAAACTGGAAATTATTGACTGGGACTTTACAGAGGCAGAGGACGAAAATAAGGAATCCGTCAAATTACCTGAATGGTAATAATAATAATGTTGATAATAATAATAATAATACGTCGCCATCGTCATCATCATCATCATCATCTCTTCTTCGTCTCAACGTTCACCGGTTGTAAACTACGGCGGACAGTTCTGGTCACGCCCATCTTGAGCTATCTGTGATTTATAAAGAAAGCCGTGGTTCTGGTTATTGAATTCATCAGCTTCTGAACTTTAGTTTTGTTCCAGAGCCAGAGCACATCCGTTTTACAAATCTAGCTTATTAGTAAGCGGACTGTTGGTTTCCTTGCCTCTCAGCATAAGCCTACATGAGCCCCGTCTTCCCTCCTCAACAGCCAGCAAAGAGTTTCCATACTGACAGTACCCGTTATATTCTGAATTACTTACCCGTCCACCCCTACCCTTCTCCTTTCCCCCTCCAAGTCTCGAGTAGCGCCAGAGCCCACATGAACAGTACGAGTTTTTAATATCTTCCACTTTACTAGTTACCTAATCCAACAGCTGAGAGCGAGAGAGAGAGAGAGAGAGAGAGAGAGAGAGAGAGAGAGAGAGAGAGAGAGAGAGAGATACCCCTGCCTTGTGCAGTTGCAGTCCAACCCCCAATGCGGATAGGCCAGCCAACCTATCTGCCTACTAATTCCCAAACACGCTTACATCGCCAGGGAAAAATATCTACGTGACTCTTACCACCTGCAAAATCTGGATTAATGCGACCCATTCAATGCGAAGAAAACCGGAGACTCCACCTCCCTGAATACTTTGCGAATCCGATATTATGACAGGGTTAGTTCGACATTAGTCTCCCCAGACCCCACCCATTTACACAATAGTTCACTTCTGATTGGTAGTTCCTGAATCCCATAACCTTCGCACAAGGTCAGAGGGGTGTTCCGCGATGCTGTTGATATCGAGTACTGTATATTTCAGCCCGCCAGCGCTTTTAACACTCCAAAAACATGCCCCCCCCCCCTTTCCCAGAAAGTTCAGCAACCTGTGTCACAGGCATTCTCTTTCTTGGAATGAAAATGTAAATGCAAGACAATGCAGAAAGCAAACAACAGAGCTGGACACACCCGTAAACTTCAGGAAAGTCGACCAGCCCAACAAACTTGTAAATGAAGAGTGACCTACTCTATATGGGGATATTAACGTGAACCTAACTGTTAGGGGATTAAAAGCCTTACAAATATAGTGGGGTTTAGCGTCCCCCCCCCCCCCCCCCCCCCCCCGCCCCCGCCAACTGTGTATGTGTGTGTGTTGGGGAGGGGAGGGGTACAAAGTGCCTGAGCTCTTAATTCTGGCGACCCCTTTAGCCTACCAAACAATAACTTCCTTATTATTTTAGCACTGAAAAATCCACCTGGCTATGAAACTGTGAGGAAACGGCACAAATCTCACCTGTCCCCGGTCACCTGATGTGATAAAGCACAACCGTTTTTCATGCTGTCAGATGTGTTTCCGGCTTTCATGGTGTTTAGTTTATTAATGTAGACAAGCTTCAGACGCGGTCGTTTTCTCATAATTATGCACCCTCTTCCTCCACATTTATAATCACAGTTAACTTCCTTTACATTTTTGTTATACGGAAATGCCGCCATCAGAGATAGGACGTATTTAAGAACCCCCGGCCGTATTTTCTAAAACGGGGGTTCTCAACCTTCCTTATGCCAAAATGGCCTAGCAGTGCTGATGCGATCAAAGGAAACTGACCCAAATAATGTCCCGATCAGCGATGAAGTCATCTACCGGCGAGCTAGTTGCCGGTGTGTGACCGTGCAGGAATAACTATTAAATGTGAAATATGCCTAGAAAAAGACCAAAAAAGGTACAATATGCTGGGGGTAGTTCTGATATTTATTCCTGGTAGATTCTTGTCCATGAGGTCCTACAGGCTGTAATCCTGAGCCCGGAAAAAAGGTGGGGGTGGGGAGAACTTAAAACAAGCCGAACCACAAGCTTACATGCACACGGAAAAGACTGTGACCCCCACCCCCCCCCCCCCCCCCCCCCCCCCCAGATTTGTAGTCAGTAAGACCAGCAAGCGTTAACATCTCATTGATAAGACTGAAACGACGTAACCATATACACAAGTTATAGGAGAGTAATACAAACCGATTACCAAGCAACCTGTAGTTTAATATGTTTGGGTTGTAGGTGATAAATGGCAGAAACGAAAACATCGTGCTTTTAACAGAAAGCCATAGAGGCCTAGAGAACAGCTCGCCTGCCGGGTGCGAGCGTCGTGGGAGGTGTTCTGGCGGAGACTTTTTTTTTTCTTTCTTTCAAAAATGACCTTGACTCGACTCCCAGGTCGACTCAGCTTTGAGAGGGTACCAGGTACAGTCCTGGTAAGTAAAGGCGGTTGGTATGATAGTGAGCACATAACTTACCAAGTGCCAACTGGTCTATAAAATCTAGGTCTAGCCCTATAAGTACAGTACGCCCGAAAACGTTGAAAAGGGGTCCTTTACTTTACCTAGAGGGCAGTACAAGAGAAAGACAATAGATTTTACCATTTCTCTGACATCGCGGTGTCGTGTGAAGTGAACCACGACCTCCTTCAGCTTTTAATTCATTCTAAAGGAGGCGTTAAGTGAACAGCCATTCAATATGTCTTACTCACATTGTCCGCGTTGAGGGGTAGTACAAATCTGGCAAACGATCCAGCATCTGGAATCTGGAAATTGGTTTTCTTCAAGCTGTCCACGTACAACCGAAGGATGGCGCTGATGTCGTGGTAGATGATAACATCGACGATTAAATAATCCTCCTCCTCATAGCAGTTGACGAAATGGAAAACGAAAGAAGAGTCGGTTTCATAGATGGTCCGAAGTCTTTTGTTGTTGCGTCTGTCTATGATATGAAACTGGAGCTGAGGATAGTATGGGGAATGTATCTGTGATTGTCTTGCATTTTAGACATGATACATTTGGGCTCAGTCATTTCAGACGTGTTGCAGACAGAAAATGAAGGGAAAAAATCCAAAAGTAGGGGAATGGAAGGAGTGGGATAAAGAAGTAGGTTGCAAAAGCAGCTGCAGAATAAGGGAAGTGAGTAAAGAAACGGAACAGGAGAAAGCAGATGGAAGAAGAAGAGGGGAAAGAAGACAGAGAAGAGAAGGCAGATGGAAAAAGACGAGCGAAAAGAAGAGAGAGGAGAATGAAATGGCAATGAATAAGAAGTAGAAAAAATAGAAAAATTAAGAAGGGAGAAGAAGGAAGTCAGAGATGGAGTAAGAAGGGAGAAGAAGGAAGACAGGGAAGGAGTAAGAAGAAGGAATTCGGAGCTGAAGGCGGGAAGAAGGAATATGAAGGAGGAAAGAGAAAAAAAGAAGAAGGAAGGAACATAAGGAAGGAGGATGGGGGGAATGAGAAAGGAGTTGAGGAATGACTACGAACAAATCAGGAAAGAAGGACAATAAAGGTGATTGTGAGGAGGAAGGGAGATTGTAAAGAGGTAAGAAAAAGAAGGACGTGTGGCTGTATAAGAAAATAGAAGAAAAATATATGGGCGAAAAGCAATAAAATAAATGCCATGTTGATTTAATTTCACGGTAGATCAGATAGAAAGATAAGAAAGTATAATTAAAAGAGAAGATGCACGAAAATGCGAGAAAAAAAAACGGAGAAGGAAAAAAAAAAACAGAAGGAAGGACGCAGAGAAAGAAAGAGAGGAAGAACTCGAAAGTGGAAAAAAAAAGGAAAAGAAAGGTAGAAAGAAAGCAATGAGCTTAAAAGCGCTACCCCCAAACAAACAAGATTCGAACAGTACCGGTTCTCCGTGACGCAGGGCCAGTGTTTCTGCCATGCCTTGTATGTCCGACCTGGTAAGGTCAAACTTTGTTGTGTTGAACGTCACGGGCTGGTCGAGTATTACAAAATAGTTCTCGCTCATGCCGAAGCTGTGGTTGTAGGAAATGTTGGTCGGCCATCTGCTGGAAATGCTGGCAAGGATTTCTGCTGTCAACAGCGGCTCGTATTCGCATTTGCCTGTTTGGACATCATAAGTGGTGATATCATTTGCAGTTGCATATCAGATACTGTAAAAAATTTAATAAAGAACAACTGAATGAATGATTTAATCATCTGACAAGACCAGATAGCCACATTAAAGAAGTGTAAAAAACACAGAGCAGGGGAAGGGGGGGGGTGGGGGGGGGGGGGAGGAGATCGCGTAAAAGATGGGGGCGATAAAATCGAGAATAGCCTTACCGAAATGAACACACCAACTTAGGCAGCGCATTAGACAGAGTATGTGTAAATTGCTTACATCTCCCCTCCCAGTACTCAAGGTAACTGTTGGAAAAGAAGAAGGAGCATTTTTGAAAAGTGGATGGTGGAAGAGGAGGAGGGAGGAAGAACGAAAGAACGAACGAACTTCACTTTTAACTTTTTGAGTCCCAAGGAACGCATCATACGTTCATAGGTTACTTCCTAGAAGCCCAATGAACGCATGATGCGCCGATTTTACATTTCCCTTGACTACCCCTTGGGCCTGTGATGCTAAACCCCCTGGGACACAAAGATTTAAAGGATAGGGAAGTGGGCATACAGGATCGTTTAACAATCTGCCCTTCTTGTCTCCCTTCTTTCAGACATCATTTCATTCAGAAGGAGGGAGGAGGAGATGAGAGTGGACAAGGGGGAGTGAGGAGTAGAAAGGAGGAGGGAAACAACGAAGAAGAAGAAACTGAAATGACGATATACACCCAGTATATTTTTTTATGGACATACAATAACAATCAATCAATCAGCTGCCGTCTCCACAATGAAGGTTGGCTGCAATGGATCTCCAACAAGGCCTGTCTCTTGCCCTTGATGTACATTCACTCATACTGCTGTTCGTCCATCTCTTGATGTTATCCTCCCACCTGTAACGCAGTCTGCCTTTTGCTCGCCTACCTTGAACCTTTCTCTCTAGGATGATCTTTACAATAGTGTTATGTCTTATAATGTGGCCAAAATATTTCACTTGTCTCTTTTTTATTTCACCTAGCAACTCTCTTTTCATTCCCAATTTCCTCAGTACCTCTGTATTTGATAGCTTTTGTTTCCAACATACAATAACAGCTAATTTTAATAGACCTTGATATAACAGTTTGAATCTTGCAGTCAATTAATAACACAGTGAACTCATCATGACCACCATCATCATCGCCATTGATCAGAGATGTGTTCTTGTCATAAGGTCAATCCATCTTGCTAATTATCTCTTTGTTAACAGATAATCAGGGATGCGTTCTTGTCATAAGGTCAGTCCATCTTGTTAATTATCTCTTTGTTAACAGATTCAGGGATGCGTTCTTGTCATAAGGTCAGTCCATCTTGTTAATTATCGCTTTGTTAACAGAATCAGGGATGTGTTCTTGTCATAAGGTCAATCCATCTTGCTAATTATCTCTTTGTTAACAGAATCAGGAATGCGCTTTTGTCATAAGGTCAATCCATCTTGCTAATTATCTCTTTGTTAACAGAATCAGAGATGCGTTCTTGTCATAAGGTCAATCCATCTTGCTAATTATCTCTTTGTTAACAGATTAAGGGATGAGCTCTTGTCATAAGGTCAATCCATCTTGCTAATTATCTCTTTGTTAACATAATCAGGGATGAGCTATTGTCATAAGGTCAATCCATCTTGCTAATTATCTCTTTGTTAACATAATCAGGGATGTGTTCTTGTCATAAGGTCAACTAACTAACTAAAGTAAAGGACCCTTTTCCACACATTTAGTCGTATCAAGGGTAGAGCTAAATTTTACAGACCAATCGGCCCTAGGTGGGTGATGTGGTTACTTCCCAGGAATTTCCTTGTTACCCATTTAAGGATAGGTCCACCTGGAAGCTAAGTTATATTTTGAAAACAAAAGTCCGGTTCTATCAGGACCACGACCTTTGGATCCGCAGGCAAGTGTCCAGCTACTACACCACGACGCCTCTCTTATGTCACTGTGACGTGTCCCCCCCAAAAAAAAATCGTCACTGTGCAAAATGAAATAGTTGTGATACATTTTACAGAGACAACAATACTTACCAACTGGGCGTGGTATTTTCACAATGTTGTAAGCTCTTCTGTAATCAAAGTTAGTTCCGTAACTAAACATGTCTCCATTGCTACCGAAATGTGGATGTGCGGTGCCCGTGTGGATAGCCACAACTTGTGTCAGGTCTATCTGTGGGTGCAGAACAAGTAACAGCCATCTAACAAGGCAACAAGGAACAGCCATCTAACAAGACAACAAGGAACAGCCATCTAACAAGGCAACAAGGAACAGCCATCTAACAAGGCAACAAGGAACAGCCATCTAACAAGGCAACAAGGAACAGCCATCTAACAAGGCAACAAGGAACAGCCATCTAACAAGGCAACAAGGAACAGCCATCTAACAAGGCAACAAGGAACAGTCATCTAACAAGGCAACAAGGAACAGCCATCTAACAAATCAACAAGGAACAGCTCTCTAACAAGGCTACAAGGAACAGCCATCTAACAAGGCAACATGGAACAGCCATCTAACAAGGCAACAAGGAACAGCCATCTAACAAGGCAACAAGGAACAGCCATCTAACAAGGCAACAAGGAACAGCCATCTAATAAGGCAACAAAAAACAGCCATCTAACAAGGCAACAAAAAACAGCCATCTAACAAGGCAACAAGGAACAGCCATCTAAAGCAACAAGGCAACAAGGCAAAAGGAACAGCCATCTAACAAGGCAACAAAAACAGCCATCTAACAAGGCAACAAGGAACAGCCATCTAACAAGGCATCAAGAACAGCCAAAAGGCAACAAGAACAACAAGAACAGTCATCTAGCAAGGCAACAAGGAACAGTCATCTAACAAGACAACAAGGAACAGCCATCTAACAAGACAACAAGGAACAGCCATCTAACAAGACAACAAGGAACAGCCATATAACAAGGCGTCAAGGAACAGTCATCTAACAAGGCAACAAGGAACAGTCATCTAACAAGGCAACAAGGAACAGCTATCTAACAAAGCAACAAGGAACAGTCATCTAACAAGGCAACACTAGCTGCAAGAGTATACAACACGAGCATGGAAACATCAAGATGCATAGAAGAAGAATATGGATACATGAAGTTAACAACTTACTAAAACTCAACAGTATCACTATGAAGCAAGCTAACGAGCGCACACTATCTCGGGAATCGATCATTAGCCGTGCCTGCGACGCCTAACGGCATTAAGCAGAGAAAGATAGTAGAAATAATGGTGAAATATGTACCTTTGTGGCTTAAAGGTTAGTGGATGCGTTTCACAATTTAATAATCTTCTACATACCTACTTATTCCTATTTCTCCAGCTACCTCATCATACGGTTGAATTGAGGGCCCGGGGCACTCACGAGCGCACACACACACACACAAAGAGAGAAAAGGGGGGGGGGGGCATACACACACACTCGAGCCCATAATGTGGGATTAAAGTCGTCTAGAAGACTAACTCAATGTCAGAAAGACTTGTCCTAAACACGAAAAGTCAATCTTTTGGAGGCCAGAAGATTTATCACATGTCAAGCTCTAAAACGGGCGAGTCGCCGTGGCGGAGCGGCTAGACGTCCGCCTGCGGATCGGAAGGTGGCTCCCAGGTGGACTGAGTCTTGAGTGGGTACCGGGTGCAGTCCCGGGAAGTAAAAGCAGCCGGCGTGATGCTGACCACATCACCCATTTTGTGCCGATTGGTCTATAAAATATAGGTCTAGCCTAGGGCGTGGACAGGGGTCCTTTAACTTTTACTTTTTATGCTCTAAAATGCTACTGAGCGTCTTCTAAGAAACTTTCAGGTGCCCATATCTCCCTGCTGAATCCGCCGTGGTGTAGGGGCTAGACGCTCACCTGCAGATTCGAAGTTCGTGGATTCGGATAGAGACGGATCGGATTTTTGTTTTCAAACTGACTTTTGCTCCCTGGTCGACCTAGCCTTAACTGGGTACCAGGTGGTGTCCAGGAAAGAAAAGGCGACCGGCGTGATGTTGACCACATCACCCAAAGAGTACCAACTAACTCTGTGAAACTATAGGTCTAGGAGGCTATATGCAAGCTCTAAAACACGATGCCGTGCAGCGGCTATGACGTCCGCCTGCGAAATGATCCTATATTTGTCTTTTACCACGAAAAAGCGGCGGGGTAGACTCTCTGTGTCCATTACATGCATTTACAACTAGCGATTAATTAGAAACGTATTGGAATAGGATGTGTTAAATTGAAAGGTGCAGATATTACAGTCTAGATGTAACCCACACAACACAACAACACACCATGTCAACTGCTTTTTCAAAAGGTTTTAGTGATTTCTATGACCCTCTGAGAAATAATAATGATAATAACAATAACAATAATAATAATAATAATAATAATAATAATAATAATAATAATAATAATAATAATAATAATAATAACAACAACAACAATAATAACAATAATAAAATAATAATAAAAATAATAATAACGAAGAAGAAGAAGACGAAGAAGAGGAAAAAGAAGAAGAAACAGCAGCAGCGGCAACAGAATCAGGAAGAGGATAAAGAACAGAAGGGAAGGCAGGGAAGAACTGATAGAATAATTTCAAAAAAGTGATTAAAGCAGTGATTCCCAAACTGTGCGCGCCCCCGGTGGACGCTTCACGCGCGTTTTTTTTTTTTTTTTTTAAATTTAAAAAAAAAAATCTTACATACGCATAGTCATACTTTTACTTAGGTTAGGACGCCGTGGAAAATATTTTGTTAAAAAAAAAAAAAAAAATGCGCCGTGATTAAGAAAAGTTCGGGAAACACTGGATGAAAGAATACCAATGCCAATCTGTTGAGTTTGTCCGGGTGAATCTGGTTGACGGTCGGTGTCTCCGTCAGGGCATACAGGGAGTCAGCGAACTGCACGATGTTGACATTGGTGTTGTCTGTTCTCTCGGGTGGGAACATGGCAAAGTGGCTCTGCGATCTGAAATGTTTCATTGGATAATGATTAATTAGTGGATTGAGGTACTTTTTTAAATTCACCCCAAACGAAGGAAATCCTAGGAGTTCGCAAGGAAGTCCACTATTCTAGGGGAGTGTGAGAGTCTCTTGAGGCAGTCTGAGATTATAACCTTAACCTGAGCCCTGGAGTATTGTCTTATAGAGGCTGGTAGATCTTATTACATGGTTGTAGTAAAGTAATATATGAGTATGCTCAGGAAGAAAGAGAAGGAATTGGTCCGAAGACAGTGGTTGGAGTCTTTAAAGCCGTCAACATTGAATCATATCAGTTTCAAATCTGTGCCAGATTGTTGGTCACACAACAGACGTTGCGTGCAAGGAAATCATGTATTCAGGTCTTTCTTGGTCTGCCTCTTCTCCTCTACTCAGCCCCGGAATACTGTCTTGCAGAGGCTGGTGGATTTTATTACATGGTAGAGGCGAACAGAGCAAATGAACTATGCTGATATTCTTTTTCATATCTGTGCCAGGGCACACAGACGTGCAAGGAAATGACCAAGCTAATCGGCTTGGAGGTAAAGGCTAACAAGCAATGAACCATGCTGATATTCTGAATTCTCTACAAGAAATAAGACGTTTTTGAGAACCAAGGGATGACTGTGAATCTGTAATAATGACCTGACTGCAAGAACAACATGTTAAAAGGGATGTGGCCAGACAATAGCACTACGCAGGAAGCCAAAGAAGAATAAGAAACCAACACAGGACTGGTGTCATCAGCCGCTGCACGCTGCAGGATTCACTAATATGGGGATCTGAGCCCTTATGGACTGAATGGTTCCGGTGTGCAATGAGGATAATCTGTCGACTAACTAACTAGCTAGTAAAATAATGTGAAGGTTCCTTTACACGCTCGAAGCTAGACTCAAGTCAGCCGCTTTTACTTCCCAGAGCTTTACCTGGTATCCATTCAAGGCTTAGTAGACCCGGCAACCGAGTTATGCTGAACAAAATCTGGCACCATGCCGATTTGAACCCCCGACCTTCGGTTCCACAGGCGAGCGTCTAGCCGCCTTACATGTTCGTACCACTGAATTTGTTGTAGTGTTTGCCTTTTCACTGTTGTTAGAAGCGGTTCATCACACACACACACACAAACGCACACACACACACACAAACGCACACCAAACACGCACATACACGCAGGCACACATACATAGTCCTAAATGTATAGAAAGTGATTTTATCATACACATGTTTCTTACCCTTTAAAAATACTTTTACAAGGATCGTCTAACGATGCTAGCCCCCTCGCCGTCGGTATAATCCTCTTGATCCCCAGCGCATCAGCTAAAGTACACGTATCTAGCAGTGATGACGAGTAGGTTATTTTTCCATCGCTGATAGTAAACTTGTGAATCACCGAAAATCCATCAAAGAAATGCTTTATGTCAGTATCTTTAACTTTATAAACTCCAGCGCCGTTCCGGTACAAGCACCCATTCAGCCAAGGGGGTATTGTTCCTGAAAAAATTTACTGACGTGAATAAAATAAGTCTTAGCCGAGGTTTCAACTCACTGCAATGGGGTTACCCCATACTTGCCCCGTTCCTCTGCTAGTGAAAAAAAAAATGAATGAAATAATGAGAACATCTCATATTTCACCGAACGGGAACCGAAATGGAAAACAAATAGACAGAGGAAATTAAGACGTTGTAGACAATTTTAATAAGAGCGTTAATTAGAAAGACAGTAAAAGAAAGGAAGATATCATTAGAATTGTAAGACAACAACTGTAATTAGATTTATTGAAAAACAAAGACTGAAATGATTTGGCCACTAGATCAGAATGCACCATTCTTGGTGCTGAATTGGGTTCCATTCATAATAACCAAAACACTGCAGAGGAAGTGGCGTAGCAAGGTCAGGCAGCAGCCGGTGCGGACAATCTTCCGTCAACCCTCCTCCCCACATAGATACATTTTCTTTTATTATAAACACATATTTGTGCAGTTTTGTCACCAAGTCAATGATGACACGCCTCTGTGCACAGGATATTGTTAGAGTAACAGAAAATGTATTGATCGGCATTCATAGAAAGAAGAAGAAAGATAGAAGAACACACTAGACAACATAAAAATCGAAAGCTTTAGTTACCGTGCAGGGAATCGAACCTGTCACCCTCAGACGGCGTGTGCGCCTCACCATGGAAAACAAGTGCACTAAGAACATGGTTAACTAGGCACCCCCGAAAAAAAAAAGTGTCTGACTGGCCATGTCTATCGTACAGCTTGACATCCACAACTTTGGAACACGGACACAATTCATTTCAAACCATTGAAATGGCACCACAGGTTACAGAAAGCATATATCAAATAACAAGAACAGCAACAATTTACAAACACAGTAGACCTTATGCTTTGAATGCTTTCCAATTTTTTCAGACTCTCTAGTTCTCAATGACCTTCCCATCTGTTTAGCATCCCTCTAATTCTAATTTTCTTCTTCATCTGTTCCATATCTCTAAAGTTCTCAATGTCCTCCCGATCTGTTTAACATCTCTATAGTTCCCAATGTCCTCCCCATCGGTTTAGCATCTCTATAGTTCCCATGTCGCTCGCATCTGTTTGAGATCCCTCTAGTTCCCTAATGTTCTCCTCATCTGTGTACAGTTCCTCTAGTTCCCAATGTTCTCCCCATCTGTTTAACATCTACTTCCCTATGTCCTCCCCATCTGTTTAAAATCACTCTAGTTCCCAATGTCCTCCCTATCTGTTTAACATCTCTCTAGTTCCCAATGTCATTCCGATCTGTTAAAAATCTCTATAGTTCCCAATGTCCTCCCGTTCTGTTTAAAAATCTCTATAGTTCCCTATGTCCTCCCCAACTGTGTAACGTCTTTCTAGCTCTCGTCTCCGCATGTTTTTGGTATTTGCAACCTTGTGGGTTGCACATTTAGTTATAGATCTACTGCCTCCCCATCAAGCATGTCGTAAGAGTCGACTAACTGGGAGCTTTCTTTGAACAGCCGGTGATCGCAAAGTAAAAGAGGATTATATCAGGTTTTCTCAGCATGAACTATCTAACTCTGGTGTCTTTTTCCTGTCTTAGGATTAGTTGGAATTGGTTTACTTGTGATTGATACGAAAAACAAAAGTCTTTAGACGAGACATGATTCTCAACATCAGATGGCACGAACAGAAAGTAGATTCAAGAGAAGTGTATGAGTTTACATGGGGTTTAGGCACAGGTTTAAACAACAGATCAACATCATGGCACAAGGTTAGTAAACCATAAGTGCTTCGTTCTACTTCCAACTCAAACCTGAGTCTGAAGAATCTCAGCGCAGCGCACAAACTCGTAGCACCGGCGAGGATCCATAAACGTTGGGTAGATTTTCAACTAAAAATTTTGACCGGACAGCTCCGTTATGCTACTCTTTTCGATTTCCAGCTGCCAAGGGATTTTTTTTCGTGCCCAAGCAATACACACGGGCGTCTGATCTTACTACCCAGAGACCAGGGGAAATTACTACAAGTCCAAGTAAAAATAATCCCAGCCTTCACCAGTGGTTGAACGCGGGACTTCCGGACGCTATGCCCCAAGACCCCTCAGCTCCATGTTTACATTATTGCTCCATCATTTCCCCAGAAAACATTGTCTACTTACCAACAAGCTCTGTATCCAGCTGCCCTTGTGTGTTGGCCGAGGCTACACTCACTGATGCCCACTGGGGTGTTCGTCCTGGCACACTCTCCATGCTTGCTCACAAACCGCGTCTGCAGCAGAAGATAATCGCTCATATTTCACAGTTTGGTTCTTTATTAATATATTTCTCTCAGATGACGTCACAGGACAGTCCAACATTTTATAGGGTGGTAAGACTGGGTTTCCCGGCTTTCTGGCGCTTTAAACGATCCCGAAACATTTAGAACTGGCCCTAATCCCAACCCATCTACGTCCCACGAGAGACTGCAGCCTAGGTCCCACGACTGCATGCAGCCTATCTACCACCCTCTGAAAAATTAGACTGTCCCGTGACCTGTGGATTTTCCCCGTTTGGGGAAGGATAAATAATAAAGCACTAGAATACCTTGTGACGCCATACCATATAAGGCATACAAGAAAAGAGAAGAAGGATGTAGGGGGGCACAAGGTTGACCAAGAACAAGATGAAATGAAGATATAGGAAATCAGAGATATTCAACAACAGCAGGATGCGTCTTCATTCAAGGTGGTATGAAAAGCCAGAAGCAGAACCTCATATCTCCCTCGACACCCGAAACGGTAAAAGAGGAAGCGAAGGAGAAGAATGATATTCGACTAATTCTCTTGCACTAAAAGACACTAACACTAGACCGTGTTTAGTGCATGCTGTTGGCGGGTTAAAGGCGGAATAATATTAGTTGCGTATCCTTTACAAGATGTTGCAGAACCAACCACCAGCATTTGTTGGCCGTTTGGGTTTCACTAGGCAATGCTACTTTCAGTAGTTTGCCATTTCTTCTTAAACGAGTGGTTCTCGATAGTACTGTCGAAATCAACGGAAGTTGGTCAGCTGCCAAATTGGCTTGGTTGGTTTGGCTTGCTTTGGGAGAGAAACAAATCTTCACGTTCAACAAGCATCACTGAAAGAGGCGCTTTAGGTTATCATTTTGACTAAGTTACGTGCGCCATATAAAATGGTTTAGCACTGCTCGCCACCAAGGACTCTTGTAGTGTTGATGCGATCAAAGGAGACAGACCCAAATATTGTCCCCATCGACAAATAAAGTCGTTTACCGGTGAGCCAATGGGCAACCCGGTAGCCTATGCTGTGCTGCCAAATTCAGAACTCTTGTCAAATATAGAAATCTTGTCATTATTGATCACTATACCCTTGCACTGGACAGTACATAATCTTTTTCTTTTCCTTTGTAACCCCAGATGAAAAGACATTTTCCAGAGCCTTTAGGCGTATTGGACTTTTAGGACTAGACCAATATTTTATAGACCACTCGGCACTTAGTAGGTATTGTGGTCAGCATCATGCCGGCCGCCTTTACTTCTCAGGGCTTGTACCTGTTACCCACTCAATGCTGGGTCGACCTTGGAGTAAAACTCATTTTTTGGGGGAAACAAGTCCGGCTTCGTCAGGCCCGAACCCCACGACTTTCCTATCCGCAGGCGAGCGTCTATAGCTGCTGCACCACGGCAACTCCCTTGTAACCCCAGATTGCTAAATTGTAGTTTGCTGCACAGTTCAACTGGCTTTGCTTCTGCTGGGTTAGCACCTTTCAGTCTCAAACAACGCAGGATAAGCTCTTCTGTGAATCCCACCTAAGATGTAATATGTTCTTTACCTTTTTTTTATGTTTGGTTAGCGCACACCAAAGAAATCTGGCATGCCTTGTATTAAGCTTTTGAAAAAAAATACTCTCACTGGTTTATGTAGTGATTATTTATGAATAAGGAAGTCGCCTGTAAAACTTTCTTGTAGTCGAAGAGTTGTCACTGGGTGTCGATCCTTCAGGCTGTAATCCCGAATGGAAAAGCGACTCTATTCACACTAAAGTGAACAACATTAAGCCGGTTGCCCTTACTTCCCTGGGCATTTTCTGTTACAAAATTCACACAGGGTTGATCTATTATAAATATGGCCGCCTTGCTGTGGATTCCAATCAAAGATCTTGGAAAGTAAACAGTACAACAAAAGGTGCTTTTTTTCTAAAAGAAAACATACCGGTATTTATTAAAGTGTTTAACAATGGCGTCATTCGCCCGTGTGTTGGCCCTCACGGAAAGCAAAGAATATAACACTGCACCCTACCATGCATGTCGTAGGAGGCAACTAAGCGTGGGGTTGGACTAGGGGTTGGCTACCAGGTCCTGTAAAAACACTAGTCACAAAAACCAACCAACTAGGCGTGTAATATGGTTGATGGCCCATGCTCCATGGGGGAAGGGGGGGGGAGGAGGGGGAGAAGAAGAAGAGGAAGAAGAAGAAGAAGAAAAAGCAGAAGAAGAAGCAGAGGAGGAGGAGGAAGAAAAACAACAATAAGAAGAAAAGGTACCGGTATTGCGTACTGTTGCATATCGCCAGATATGCAAAAGGCTGACAACATCATATATTCTACAGTATTAAAAAAGCCCAGTGTTCTCTTAAGGATGAATCTGTGTCAGGACCAGCAAATCGGCAGTGGATTTAAGAGTTCACAAAAATCTGCTCTAGAAACAATATATGAGATTAGAAAATCCATCAAACGTAACAACAATCAGGGCTGGAGAACAGGTCAGCCATCTCTCACTCATTGTAAACAAACTAGCCAAGCGGCAAAAATCGGAACATGGAATGTTTGTGGTCTTACAAATAAAGAACCAGAAATAGTAGAATTCATGATGAAACATAAGCAAATTATAAATACAATCTTTATACCGACATTAGGTTATCAATGTCAGACTTGGACATTAACAAAAGAACACGAGAGAAGACTAACCACCTGTGAAATGAGATGTTTGAGAATGGCTGCGAATAAAACCAGAAGAGATCGAGTGAGAAACGATGTGATTACAAGAACTATTGGAACCATACCCATCGTTAAATTTATTGAGAAGCAAAGAATGAAATAGTTTGGTCACCTCATGAGAATGGAACCAACGATGCCAGCATCAAGAGCATACAACATGAAAATCGAAACACCAAGAGGCAGGGGAAGACCAAGAAGAAAATGGATCGAAGGAGTCACGGACAACTTGAGACTTCATAACATCACGGCATATGAAGCGACTGAGCGCGCCCTGGCTCGGTTGCCGGTCATCTGATAGACTGCGACGCCTAGCGGCACAAACAGATTTTGACAAAAGAAGAAGATTAAAAAAAGAACACACACACACACAATTACGAGCAATACGCACCTAAGGTTTTCAGATCCCTCTTACTGGTTGAACAATTCCCTGAAACAGCCAACAACTAGTTCCAACTGTCTGATAAAAGCTAATTGTTGATTGTTACACCACGTAAGCTAGTCCCACAACTTTATTGTGTGGTAACGGGTAACGCTAAGGTTCACTTTTTCTTTTCTAGTGAATTTTACTAGTTTTCCGGAGCTAAGGACTCAAAAGACAAACAATTTATGTTTAACCTCGAGAAATGCGGGCCGTCGGACGACAGTTGAACGCGTGACTCTCCGAGCATGATTTAATGAGACAGAATGAAGTGTGTTCCACATTTAACACACGTCGTCATAACGACTAGGCTTTTGTTTTTTAACGACCGCTTCCTGTTTGAAGTTGCAGCTTCATTTTTCTTTCTGCGTTTCTCCTTCATAGGACATTTTTTTTTTTTTTTACGTATCCAGAAACCATGAGTTGTAAACCCTTTGGCTCGGTACTATGGATATCGCAACCCTTCGGCATTGATTCCATTATAGGTACCGTTAATCTGGGAGAAATGTGGCTTTTCTGCCTACCCCCGGGAGTGAACCCGGACCACAAGGAGTTCGTCACCCGGCCGCCGCGAAAGTCAGGTTTAACCAACTTCGCTAGAGAGCCGGGCCCTTCATAGGACATAAGCACGCTGTGTTGGGGTTAACAGCTAGGCTGCGATATCTGCACCAATTTGCCTAATACATCCGATTTCAACAATCTATTAAGACTTCTTTTATAGGGCTGTAGGACTGTTCCCCACCCAGCTAAAACTGGGCCCTGAGTTGTTACTTTAAAACATTTTATCTCTAGCAGTTGCTACTTAACTCGGTAAACACTACCATTCTATTCTTGACCCAAGGGTCAGTGATGACTGTCTACTGACCCTTTGGTCGCAAGTATTAACCCCAGGGCTTAGTTTTTTTCATCTTCGTTTCTTTGTTCACCGGTTGTGAAGCTCCGACAGAAAGTCCTGGTTGTTCGTCCCTTTGGACTTTGGTTTTGCGCCAGGGCCTGACTTTTGCGTGTACATCCATGTTACTGGCTTATTCGTGTGCAGTTGGTTGTTACTTGCCTCTCGGGCAAATACACTTCCATTTCGAAGAACGCACACAATTCGGCGGCTACTACGACATGCTTGTTGGGGAGGCAGTGGGCCTATTCTGGTTTCCCTGACAAGCGGAACCTCCTGGGCAGATCCACAGCCGTCTGCAGTTTTAAATCTTCTCACGGAGGTGACTGACGTAATGCTGATAGTTTTCCCAATGGACTGCTCTATACAAATATGGAACTACAACCATATATGCCACACTGACTGTTTTTTTTCTTTGTTTCTGTCGGCACTCAGGGCAAAGTGTCTAGAAAAAGGCTCTGGTACTCACCACTCGTCTGCGTCTGTGGCTTAGGCGTTGCCAACGCGCTTCGTAATGCTGAAATTTCGGGTTTTATCCCAGCTGCGGACGGTTTGTCTTGCGTTGATTTCGACAGTGGTACCGACAGCTGACCGTTTAGGCAGCAACAGCAAATTACTGGACATAAAACTTGTCTAGAAAAACTACAACAGCCAAAACATACTGGGGTTGGTTCTGCAACGTCCTGTAAATGACTAACTCACCCACCAATCAGTGACTATTCCTGTAGCGCTGAAAAAAAGATATACAAAAGGTGCCGGTACTCTGTACCGCTAAAAAAAATCCGGTACAACAATAAGAAGGAGACAAACACTGTTCTTTGGTCACATAATGAGAAGAGAGACATTGGAGAACATTGTGACAACTGAAAAAATCAGTGGAAAAGGGGTTGAGGCAGACCAAGAGAGACGATGCTAGATGGGCTGAAACGATGGCATGAAGGGAT